TTTCTTGGGTTTGCATATAGGATAAGAACCGTGTATCCGGTAATGAGCGATGCATAAATAGCATTTAGAATGCATAATGCGCAAATAATAATGATGACGAAAGCCACCTGATGGAGATAGATTCCGCCTGTTGGGTATCGTTGCTCGTTAGCTGGTTCATGAGTTACCCCTCATGCAATCAACTGTCACAGGCCAAGTTGATTAGTTAGCTGGGTGCATGTCAACGAATGGCTGGCCCAGACGTGCAAGTGCCCCTCCAACTGTAAACAACCCAACTGCGCGCTAACTTTGTCTCCTCCAGTGCCCTCAATCGATAAACGTGCTGTAATTCTCTTTTCTTGTCTTTTTCTTTTCCTTTCCTTTTTTTTTTCCTTTTCGGTTTTCTTTCTAGAGTTCATCCGAACAATCCCGCGATAAGATAAAAAATCCCATCCCCATCGGACGACGTCAGCGCGGGGCTCAGTAGCAACAATGGATCGCAGCAAGAAGCCATCCTCGATTGGCGTCGGAGCGGCGATTCCTCAGCCAAGTGTCAATGTCAATGGAAATACCGTCGAAGCAACTCTTCCCACGGGCGAGTCGGTTTCGGTGCATCTGTATGGGGCTACGGTTACCTCGTGGAAGCTCGCCAGCGGAGTAGAGCAGCTGTTCCTCAGCTCCAAGGCCATCTTGGATGGTTCCAAAGCTATTCGTGGGGGTATTCCAATTGTATTCCCGGTGAGTTTTCTTTCTTTCTTTCTTTCCTTTTCTTCTTGGAAACATTCTCGACCATGCGATTCTGTGTTCTCACTACTAAACGGTTATCCCTAGGTATTCGGACCCCCGCCTCCGAACCATGCGACCTCCAACCTGCCTCAACACGGATTCGCTCGATCTCAAACCTGGGAATTCCTCGGAAAATCGTCATCCGAGTCACTTGGGTCCAAGGGCGCCAAATCAGACTCCACAGTGAAGCTGGATTTTGGACTGTCTTCGAGCATCATCACCGAGGACGCTCGCAAAGCATGGCCATATGAATTTGGACTTGTCTACAGCGTCATCCTTAGCCCCGAGAGCCTGGAAACATCTCTACATGTGCAGAACAAGGGAACCCAGCCGTTTGATTTCCATGTGCTGCTGCACAATTACTTCAATGTTCCGGTGAGTTGATTGATTCCCGCGTGCGCGTGTGTAATCAAGAAAAACATCAACACTAATATTACATCAAAAGGACGTCTCCAAAATCCGAGTCAAGAATCTCCAGAACAAGACCTACACAGACAAGGTGGACAACAAGCAGGAGAAACAGGAAACTTCTGACGCGATAGCCATCACTGGCGAGGTTGACCGTGTCTACGTGGACGTTGATCCCACAGCTCCAGTCAGCATTGTAGAGGATGACAAAACGCTCTTTTCAATCACACGCGAGGGCCTCAACACTGTCACAGTGTGGAACCCCTGGACAGAAAAGGCCAAGGGCATGAGTGACTTTGGCGACGAGGAATACAAGGGTATGGTGTGCGTGGAACCTGGTGCTGTCAAGAGCTGGCAGGTTCTGGAAGGCGGGGATGCTTGGGAGGGAAGTCAGACAATTCGGCCCAGACTGTAAATAAGTACGTAGTGATTATAGGACTTAGTGGCACTGTCAGTAGGAAATTTGAAATCCATAATACGTTTTCTTGCTAGTCTAGGTATTGTCAAAATGTCGTCATTGAATCGAAGATGAATCATGTACAAAAACCATCTAAGATTAATAATATTATTATTTAGTTATTTAATTTAGAGGTCTTAATTCTTATAGTAGCAGTAGTAGATCCCATTAACCTGGTGTAGCTAGCTTCAAGACTATCGCCGCTATGCACCGTTGAAGCTCTAATTAGAAGGATATAGAGAATAAGGGCGGTACTGCCACTCATAGTGCGATCCGGCGGCCGCCGCAGAAACAGAGCACCAAGCCTGTCAAGATGGCAGACTTACAAACATTGCAAATAAGCCAAACAATCTAAACAAAGGAAATCATAAAAAGAGTCGCATCCGGGTCTCTCACCGGTCCTCAGCAGCTACACCTTCACACCCACCTCACACCCACCTCACACCCACCTCACGCCCACCTCACACCCACCTCACACCTACCTCATACCCACCGCATGCCACTGCTGCTGTTCAGGGTATGACAATTCTTTTTCCATTGTGCTACTATACAGGCACAAAGGATATTCATATACCAGAAAACCGGACATCAGCACATATCTGGTTGGCGCCATCCACTGATATGCCATAGATTCTCTGACCAAATAACGGCGTACTACCACCACAAGAGGTATTAGACAAGCGCGACAATCTACGATCCCAGCGACAACAAGACATCACCCATGCCAGGGAGGAGTGTGAATATTGCGGCGACAAAGCACCATATCAGAAGAGATTTACATTTGTGCCTGATGCAGAGTATACGTTATGTCGAAACTGCAAACGATACTTTAATCGCGGAACGCAGTGTAGCGATTATTAGTACGAGTTACTTTTCAAAAAGAAGAAGCTTGTTGGTTAGCTCCCTCAAGCAGATTTCCTCTTCTAGAACTAACACCTTGTGCGCTGTGAGGTGTCAATAATATTGTCACTATCTGGCCTCACTGCAAGTGGGGGATTGATAATGTACTCAGAGGCTTATGTAGCAAGGCTTATAAGCTTTTAAAACCTCTATAGTGAGGTTAATTTGACCAATTTAACCAGGCTTCCTGAGTATATTGTTAGATTCTTTAAATTAGTATTAATCACCAAAGTAAGACTGATCTAGAATCAACCAAATGGCCTAAATTGCTAATCTGAACTACTAATTGGTATATGTAGCCATAAGTAAATTTTTGATCTAGAAGATTTAGTAGATATTAATAATCTGTATAGAATTCTTATATAAATAGATAATTAGTAGTAAATGAGAAGAATCAAACCTTTTAATATCCATTACAGGATAGGCACCAATGTGTATTTCCTGCAGTTATTAAGCTTGCCCCATAAGGTACGACAATTGGCCTCGCTACAGAAGTCTGCGTCCCACTGGCGTTTATCCCCACCTGACCTAGTACGTAGTCCTTATTCTGGAGTACAGCTGACCGGTGTTGTAAATTTAGTGGCTGGGGGTCGAAACTGCTGATGGGGTGTCAAAAAATGATTTTTCACACCTACTGAGCGGATGCCTTGGCGCCATTGCATGTATTTACACACCCATTGAACTTTAGGTTATGTCTGCTTTGACCCCCAGCCACTAAATTTACAACACCGGTCAAGTGCAAGCCCTTATTCATACCCTTTCAGCGTGCCTTTACTATTGCCGCTATGCCGGGGGAACTAGGCTAAGTGGAGAAGTGTCGTTGAAAAGCCTCAATTATCTTGGGTTCGGGTTTCCAGTTGGCAGGACGATTGTCGACTATAAGATATTCGCAATCCCGATATTTCTCTCGCTTCCCACATGGGCATAACGGAATATATTCTCTGGAATTCGAATCGCTCCTTTCCTGGTTATTTGTATGGTCAGCTAGAGGGTTTATTCCCGGCAGATCTGACTGACCCTGCAGACTTGCAAATGCCATGGCACCTCTGCCTCTCGGTTCTTGTGGCCTCGACCGATATTGATTTTTGAAGTCCGATATGAATTGTGAGAACCTCGGTAAGTTCTCCCTCTTTTGTTCCTCTTTGGTTAACCCACTGATTCTGAATAGTGGCGTGATCCAGGACATATAGAATTCTGGCATTATATTCTTCGTGGATTTGACAAATTCGATATATAACCTTATCCCGGTTGCTTCAAGAAGGTTGGCGGCAACGGCTTCATCGTGGAACGTCTCCCACCTTGCAGCCCAATCCTCCACCTTGGTATTCTTATCTTTCCCTTCCCTGAGCTTGTCGAATTCATCGAGAAGAATCATCTGCTGACGTTCTTCGCTGTACGCCACTTCGCGTTTGAGAATTCGAAGCGCTTCCTTCGGTTCGTCGGTCGAATCTATCTTGGTTTTGAGACTCTTCTCAAGCGACCCCTCGATTGCCGACATCAGGTCTAATTTCGCTTCATGTTGCCTCTGGAATAACCTCTGTTGCAAGTCCAATGCCTTGAGTTTATCCAATTGGGTTGTAATATCGCTTGTTCGATCGATTATTACCGCAATTTGTTGCCCGTCTACCTCTCTTGGCGCTGTCGTACCGTGTTCGTTTTGGTATTGTGTCAGGAGATTGGATACTTGGTAAATCTCGCTTGCTTTATTCGGAAAGGACACTGAGGTGTCCATTGCTTCTGGAGATGCGTCAGGATTTACTTGTTCCCATAATTGACGCCTTTCTGCGAATCTTTTGATTTCCTTTATCCAAGGTCGCCAGTCCTTGGATGATTTTAGGACGATGGAGATCCTTTTTGCGCTGTCACCGTCCGACATCTTTGTGGTTGGGAATAGCTTCACGTGTTTTGAACGACTGAGGTTCGTGTGTTTGGGAGCTCTGCAAAACACCACGCAGATGGACAAAATACACCAAGCTTGCACTCCCGACTTCTGAATAGCTTCAGGGTCCTATAAAGATTGACAACCGATATAGTGTAGGGCTACCGGGCTCATAACTGTGCCAGGAAGTGGAACAAGCTTAGTAACCGCAGGTTTACACCAATTGGTGCCTCTCCTGTGAAGGTGTCAAAAGGTCTGATTATTCCCAATTACCACTAATTTACTATTTATATGGCTTCCTCATACAAATTACTAATTACCCCTATTTTTCCTCGATCAGATTATTACCTGAGGCCACGTCGCTTGATCGGCAGTCTGTGCAGTAATCAGGACCATGGTTTATTCGGGAATAGTGCAATTTTCGGGTGACAAGAAGTGATATACTTAGTGGCGTTTTTGTGAGATGTTAGTTTGAAATTGGAAACCCGAATTTTGGTATGTACCATTAAGGCTCACTATAAATGCATTTAGCTCTTTGTCACTGGCTACATGTATTCAATTTGCGAGTGGCGAAGTAAAACGATCTTAATCGCACCGATGGTCAAGGGGTTACGATACGGTCCTCCCATTTTCATGTCTCATGTCCAAGGATAGACCGTGGCCCGGGTTCGAGTCCCGGTCGGTGCATGTCTTTTTTTTTTTCCTCTCTCCCTCTCTTCTTAACCGTTCTAGTGAACGTTTTTTTTGCTAGGAGAGATGTGTACTTGAGTCGAATTGATGCTGTATTGTTGAGATATCCATCGTGTTGTGCCGGATATTCGGATAAGTCGGCATACACGTTTTCGGCATAGCTTTACTACTAACCAATGGCGTCAGTCTCTTGAATTTTTGTTCAGTCGCAACGCAGTGAATGCCAAAATAGCAGTGGAATAAATCGACTGGCTGCACAAAATATCCCAGGAACCTATTTACTTCACTTCATCCGTACTTTCTGGTGCTGCATTGCCCACATATACAGTATACCGGTTCTACGAACCTGTACAAGATTGAAACTGTGGATGACGCCCAGTCGGGATCTTAATCAGGATCGAGATTCTGTGTCAGACCATGTAGAAGAAGACATTGCTACTCACGAACAAAATGCTGTTTTTGGAACCAACCTAGAGATGAGTCATGACTGTTCTACAACCCAGACACAGCACGACAGACCGCCTTTATCAGTTACTGTCCCAGAAGGCCTTGTCTCTCGACGTTTCTCTCTAACTGAAGAGGATGAAATCCGTACAGAAAGACCGTCGTCTGCCCCCTCGGATGCGGCCCCAGAAGAAAAACCACAGCCCGTTTCATGGAGCCAGCTGCCCAAACAGAGTCAGCTGATGATTCTCGTCTTGGCTCGTCTATCCGAGCCCTTGACCCAGACTTCGTTACAGTCTTACCTGTTCTACCAGCTCAGATCATTCAACCCTTCTCTGTCGGACTCGACCATTTCTTCCCAGGCTGGTATCATCCAAGGAAGCTTTACTGCTGCTCAATTCTTGACTGCTGTATGGTGGGGGCGTTTGGCCGATGCCTCTTGGATGGGCAGGAAGCGAGTGCTTTTGATTGGCCTAAGTGGAACCCTCATGTCCTGTGTTGGCTTTGGCTTTTCCAGATCATTCACGTCGGCCATTGTATTCCGCATCCTGGGTGGGTTCATGAACAGTAATGTCGGTGTCATGAGAACAATGATATCGGAGATCATCGAGGAGAAAAAGTAGGTCAATACGGCTGTTTGTTTGTTCTAACTGTAGCTGACAGGTGAATTCCAGGTACCAATCCCGGGCATTCCTTCTCCTTCCAATGTGTTTCAATGTTGGTGTCATCATTGGTCCCAGTCTCGGAGGTTTCCTAGCAGATCCAGCCGGCAACTTTCCAGGCGTCTTCGGGCCTGGCTCTGCTCTTGGCGGCAAAGATGGCGTCTGGTGGATGCAACATTGGCCGTATGCTTTGCCCAACCTTGTCAGCGCAGTGTTCATAACCATGTCTTTGGCTGCCGTGTTTTTCGGATTAGATGAGGTTTGTTTGGTTCTCCGTTCTCGTCACTATATAGATCTCCGCTAATTGCTGTGTAGACCCACGAAATAGCTAGGTTCCGACCTGACTGGGGCCGTGAACTGGGTAAATCTATTGCTAGATGGTTCAAAAGAAACTCGGAAGAATACAGGTATAGCAGACTGAACGACGATCCTGACGAGGTGAACTCGGTCGATTTGGAGCGCTCTGTGCCGCCAAGCCCAACATCTACTCGACAAACTCCTTCAACCCCGGTGCGCAAGAATTCTCCTTGGAAGCAGATACTCTCCAGAAATGTTGTCCTTACCCTTTTGACACACTTTCTTCTGTCTATGCACACGAGCGCGTTCAATTCCATGACATTTGTATTCCTGCCCACACCGCGCGCCCCAGAAAACAGCCACAAGGGGTGGTTCCACTTCAACGGCGGCATGGGTCTTTCCCCCTCGCAAGTCGGTATCGCCACCTCAGTCATTGGAATCATAGGATTGCCTCTCCAGCTCTTTGTGTACCCGCGAGTCCAATTCCGCCTCGGCACTTTACGGTCGTTCCGGACTTTTCTGCCACTTTCACCATTAGCCTACGCGCTCATGCCTTTTCTTGTCCTGATTCCCCGGGCCTCACTCTTTGTTTGGCCCTCGTTTACCTTTGTGGTAGCCTTGCAGGTTATTTCACGAACATTTGTCTTACCTGCGGCGATAATCCTGGTGAATAACAGTGTGACTGACCCGTCTGTTCTCGGCACTGTTCACGGTATAGCTCAGAGTTTTTCCAGCGGGGCCCGGACATTGGGCCCGTTTCTCGGCGGTTTGGGCTTGGGCTTGGGTCTGTCGAACAATATTGTCGGTGCGGTGTGGTGGGCATTGGCTATGGAAGCCATATTGGGCTGGGTTGTCAGTTGGACCGTCTATGAAGGCAAGGGGATAGAAAGAAAGAAGAAGCCTGCTAGAGCCTAGAGAACGTTCGTGATAAACATTTTTGAGTCAAGTATACCAAGACTTTTCCCGTCGTAGACTAACATACGATGACCAGATGTGAATTATTTTTTTAAGAAAGGTTTTATGCATTAGTATGACTGGCAGATTCGTTCTAGTAGTGGAATAGAGCATTTTATATTCAACAATTTACATCAACGCAAGAAACAATCCATGTCGTCATGATTCATTACTTTTCCAACACCTCAACAACACACAAACTAAGGCCGGTGTTTTTGGGATCATTGATCCACATTGTTCAAAGAACTTTGTATCCTCGGCCAAATCTTCTTTTTCTATTATTTCCCTTTTCGGGAATACTTCTTTCAGCGCTTCATTATGCTGCAGCTGCAGGTGTAATAAATGCGCGAAGTGCCTGTTTGACATCCCCATCGTGGGATTTCAGCAGCTCGGTAGCTTTAGTTTTGGTAAGATCAAGCTCGTCGACCTGGAAAGGATAACATATTAGCCCGGCATATTCTCTCAACAACGGTAAAAATAGAATCCCTCACAAGCAACGTGACATCCTCCGCTGCAATCTTGACAGCTTTCTTCTTCACCACATCGTCCTTTTGTCCCGTCTTCCCCGTACTCGAAGCAGCAGCAGCAGCAGTCGCAGTCTTGTTGGCACCCCCGCCGGCAGCAATTTCCAGTCGACTCATTGCTTTGCCCAGGGCCTCTTGTGCGGCAGCAGACGAAAGCTTGCTGCCAGCATCGTCCCCTTGCGAGATTTCATTGTTGTTGAGCGACGAAAGAGCGGCGGCGGCTTTGCGGTCTTCGGCATTGGCGGGCAAGCGTTGGTCGTCACCATCGCCAGCGGAGGGGATTGGCTCGGTCATGGGAGGTTTATATAGCTGTAAAAGTCCAGAAACTGCTGGTTATAACTAGGGGATATTGGGAAACGGAGATCAAGAACTATCAGAGAGTTGAATGTTTGGAGCTCTCCGCAGATTAAGCTTGCCGCCAAGGCTTCAACCCCGCATGCCTCGTGGCCTTAATTTGGAGGCATCAAACTCTATTCATACTGTCCAGGTTCAAGTCATGCTGATTTTGTTCTTTTCTAGACATAGTGACCGTATTAGCAGAATTGAAGCCTATAGAGCCTTTATGCAAAGACAGCTAATGCTTAGTATTCCAATTTTACATGCGAAGGATTCTATCAATTGATACATCAGTTGACAATCAATGCTATATATACATCAACTGATATCAATTGATACATATATACTCGCTACACAGTCTGCGTTCCGCGACCAGCACTGCTCAATAGAGTAATATCCTAGAAAGGATCAGAATTCATACTCTGTCCAATCTTCTTCCTCACGTTCCCACAAAGGCGCGTTTTCCTCATCCGGGTCCTCGATATTGGATGCGTTCTCGATGCATTCTTCAATACCGATGACTTTCTTCAGATTCGGCAGCTATGAGTCCTTCTCGGTCAGGAACCGTGTGATAACTGTATCAAAATCCGGTCGCACCCCTTTCTCATATCCTCGAATACAGAGCGATTCTAAACAGGCTGGCAAAGCATCCACTAGCACAACTTGATCGAATGGCGTGACCTTTTCTTCGTCCTCAGTGTCCATGTACTGCGTACCCCTCGCCAGGTAAAGCAACACTGCAAGACCAATACCCAGGTGCCTCAAGGATGTAAAGTCGCCGAGCGAGCCGCTGCGATCCCAAAATCCTTCTACTGCAATGACTTCACCATCCCTTGGGTCTTCTTTCTCATCGTGGGAGATCAATCTATCGTAATCGGACCCACTTTCAATGTCAATGTAGTAACAATAACTGTCTGAGTCAACATCCAGAACTTCCAGAGTTGTTTTGTGTCCGAGAATCGTTTTCAGGAAAGTTCGAGGATTGAAGGGCGAAAACGACCCATCACTGCTGGCACGTCCACCAGTGCTATAGTGAAATTCTTTCAGAGTTATGCATGAATTAATGAGATGCATAAAGTATACGGTGTTTACACTAGAATATTGAACCCTAATTCGACTTATATTTGACCGCGTCGGTGGAAGAAAACGGAGGAAATTCTCATCCTGGGCCATAGCGTCGATTCCAACTCTTTCTATTGATGGTAACCTATCAAAGAACTGAAGCATGCCTAACAAGTCAAATTCTTCGTAGAACCGCCCATCATCCCAACTGTTTTCCTTGTTGTTGATGAGTTCCACTGAATGTAAATACTGCAGCCAGGGTTTCTCCTGTGGATTGTCATTTGTGTCCATCAAAAACTTTTCAAGAGGGAGGCATCGTAACTCCCGCCTGCCAAACCTGGTCCTATCAGTTTCTGAGTGATAGGAGCCCGTGAAATCAGACATGATGATGCTCATGCTCATGGATCCTATGTATGGAGACACTGAAATCAGTAATGCGGCGAGTGCCTGTGCGACCCAGGCACCTCGCAAGCCTTCCTGAGGAGTCCTAAAATAGGCTTAGTCATTTGATGCTTTTTGGAGGAAACAGCAATTGAAAGGAAGATATACTAACCCAGAATACGGGGTTATAAATTCATATGGTTGTAAAACCATGTTGAGTACCTTCTCCCCGTAGCCATCCGTGAACCCGGCATTTCCAATGGCTGTTCGCAGTCTCTCCAAATCCTCACTCTTGAGATTTTTTAGATCCTTGTTCCGGATTTCATAGTCATGGTAG